TGGAAGCCAAAAGGGGGAGCTCTCATGCCCTGTGTCCACAGCAGAGCCCAAGAAGAAGAAAGATTCCTCTTCTTTCCTGGCCAGGTCTCAGCCAAAAAAGCCACGGAGACTCTGTGTTTACTCTAGCCCTCCCAACTTCCTTTTCGTCTCTGTGAAAGCCTTCTCCTTCCCCTGCCCTGTGGGAACTTGCATGAGCCTTGCCATCGTTGCAGCCTGGAACTGCAATTCTCTGCTAATCTTTGCTGGAGAAATATCTGGCTGTCTATTTGTTTCAAGTCAACAGTGTTTGGTCCAATTCTTGACAGGCAGATCTTAAAAGTTCCTGAAACTAGTGAACATATAGACAAGTCCTATAAGCACCTACATGGAATGACCATTTGGCCTGTCCTAAATTGAATCAGGTGCTATATCCAGGAGGAAGCTGCAAAAAGCCTAGGAACTCTGCAGTGGTTGGGAGTCCGCCTGCCGATGCAGGGGACGCGGGTTCGTGCCCCGGTCCGGGAGGATCCCGCGTGCCGCGGAGCGGCTGTGCCCGTGGGCCGTGGCCGCTGGGCCTGCGCGTCCGGAGCCTGTGCTCCGCAACGGGAGAGGCCACAACAGTGAGAGGCCCGCGTACCGCAAAAAAAAAAACAAAATCAAAAACAAAAAAAAACAGGAGAAAAAGCCTAGGAACTCAAGAAGAGCAAAAAATGAACTCCCATACATTAAAAAACAAAAACAAAAAAACCCAGCAACATGCAACATGAACATATTACAAAAATCTTCCCTGTTTCTTCTCTGTGCATCTAATTCCTGCTCATTTCTTACTTACAAGTAAGTTTAAGTCTTGTCACCTTTCCTTCCCTCTTTGACAGTCTTTTTCCACTCATAGCTCAATCTTTTTTTCTTAATCCATTCTCTCACTTCAATCTCTAATTTAGCAAAAAGGCATAATTTTACAAAGTTATTGGATATATATAGAAAACATTTAAATTAAGAGACAAAGCTGACGAAATCAGCTTTATATTTCTTCCCCTCTCAAATTCCAAACCAAAGAACAGAAACACATTAAACATTTTTCCAATTATGTGACTCTCAAGCTCTGGATTTTTTCATTACTCTTTTTTTTGGCTGTGCCGCGAGGCTTGCAGGATCTTAATCCCCAGGCCCTGGCAGTGAAAATGTGAGTCCCAACCACTGGACCACCAGGGAATTCCCTGGATTTTTTCATTACTCTTATGGTCAGTGTAGTGCCACTGACCACAAGAGTAATGAAAAAATAAAAAGGAAACAAAAAGAAAAGATAAAAAGCACTCATTACCAATTGGTACTGCTCTGCAATCCTTTCCCACATTCCTAAATGACACCCTCATCAGTGCTTCTCAAACCGGGATACTTCATCTTGGGTATCTGAAGCCATCTAAGCATGGCACAGTTCCTCTGAAGAACGAATTTTAAGTTTGAGGCAGGGAAAGTTATATATATACTTAAATAACCACGGATGCTCTACAGAGTAAAATGTAAAATTTGAATAAACTGACAGAACTCAAGTCTTCAAAGAGATTCTGCACTTGTCACAGCTGCTTCCAGCCAATCCCGCATGGAGCTGGTAAGGGGAGCAAAGGAGGGTATGCAGTAGGATCAGTTTAAGAACTCTCCTCTCCATTAGTTTGAGACAGACTGCCCTATATCACTCCCCTCAAGCTTCCTAACCACAGAATCACTCCACCTGTTCTCAGCAGAGACACCTGCTTTACTAAGACAGGGGCCAGCTAAAGTGGCCTCCTGCCACATACTGCTCCTCTCCTTTAAGACAGCTCTGTGCCTTCCTCTCTATCTTCTCTCCCATCCACCCTCCTACCCTTGCTCCCCCTGCAAAAAACCACCACCACCACCACAAAGAGGCCCTATACCCCTTCAAGAATAACCTCAGAGACTTTTCTTAACAGACTTGTCAGTAACTTGCTGTCTTTCCTTCCTTAACCCTTTCCTGTCATTCCAAGGACCACTGCATTTTATCACTCAAACCAAACTGCTCTCCAAATTAACACCGAAGATTTACCCACCCATTTCCCCTCTTTTCGACTAAATTCAATTCCTCTACAGTATAACTCCAACTTCTTGAAGTGCTCCCTTCACTTGCTTGACACTGCGCACTCCTCATCAATTTCCCAATGTCTCCCTCACATTCTTTTTCTTTGCCTGACCCCTGAACACAGATATTCCCCAAGGTTCTGCCCTTGAGTCTCTCACAGACTTACCCTAACCCTCTAACATCATCACCTTAACCCTACATTAAATATCATTCTATTAGGATGTAACTTTTATATACAACTCATATTCTCACCAGCCTCTTACACTGCAGATCCAAATTTCCAATTGCTTAATAAAAATCTTTAAATCAAATGCAATCTATTCAAAACAGAACCCTTTAATTCATTCCTCAAACCTGTTATTTTTCCTACATTCTCTACCACAATCCTCCTAATCATTCAGCTGCCTGCAAATTAAATTTTGGTATCTTTAGCACCTACCACGGTAGCAGGAGCTCAGCAAATGTGTGCTGAATGACTGAAAGAAGCAACTGATAAATCTTGTCATTTATGTCTCCTTAATAGTCCCTACTGGCAATTGCTCTGGTTCAGGCTCTTGATCACCTGCTTAAATTACCTCAACCACCTGTGGTCTCCTTGGCTCACTTTTTATGAAATATTTTAGATGTAAAATGGCTTTCTGTTAATTTACTGAGTTAGCAGAAAGGTGAATCTGTATAATATTTATCATGAGACATTAATGCAAATAATTTTCTTTACAATTTGATTCAGCCAAGTGACCTTTCATCCACTTGCCTCTCAAATTAACACAAGTCCATTTATTATTTACAATAAATGTACTACTTTTGAGAGTGTCTGATTTACGTTAATTATCATATGAGCATATTCCCAAGCTTAACTAGAGTTCCAGTTTGAGTAGTATTCTTAAAATCAGGGCTGACTCACACATAGATCTAAAAGCAGGTAAGTCACTCATCTTGCAGCTGACCTCAATTTGCCTTTCTTCCCATTATTCCTGTTTAGACATATACTCCTATCCTAGTTATGAAGAGTCTACATGTTTACAATATTAATATGCTTCTCTTCATTAAAAAACATCATATAATGCTGATATTGTCCCATCTTTCATTTGATCAACCAAGACATAGATAACCTGTTACTCAAATTAAGTAAATATGTAGCCATATCTCGCACCTGACATTCAAATAAATTTCATATGAATCAAAAATTTATAAAACCACAAAAATGTAGAAGAAATGAAAAATCTATTTTTTTTTATAATCCATAGTGGGGAAGACCTTATTAAGATATACACAAAAGTCAGAGGCTATTACTTTATAAAGGAGAAAATCTAACCACTTACATGTTAACTGAATTTAACAAACTGAGTATTTCTGTATATCAAAAACCACCAGAAGGGCTTCACTGGAGGTGCAGTGGTTAAGAATCCACCTGCCAATGCAGGGGACACGGGTTCGAGCCCTGGTCCACATGCCACGGAACAACTAAGCCCATGTGCCACAACTACTGAGCCTGCGCTCTAGAGCCCATGAACCACAACTACTGAGGCCACGTGCTGCAACTACTGAAGCCTGCACGCCTAGAGCCCGTGCTCCTCAACAAGAGAAGCCACCGCAGTGAGAAGCCCACGCACCACAACGAAGAGTAGCCCCGGCTCACCGCAACTAGAGAAAGGCTGCACATAGCAATGAAGATCCAATGCAGCCAAAAAATTAAAAAAAAAAAAAAAAAGCTCCATAGTTATTTACTGATAACAATATATATTGGAGAGCTGTTTTTAAGTAAGAAAAAAGCAAAGTAAAACATAGCAATGTATAAAATATGCTCCCTTTCCATGTTTAAAAAAACGGGGGTGGGGGGGGACTTCTCTGGTGGTCCAGTGGTTAAGAATCCGTCTTGCAATGCAGGGGACGCCTGCTCGATCCCTGGTCAGGGAACTAAAATCCCACATACCGAGGGGCAACTGAGCCCGTCCACTGCAACTACTGAGCCCATGCACCACAACTACAGAGCCCACACGCTCTGGAGCCTGTGCGCCACAACTAGAGAGAAGCCCACGTGCCACAACTAGAGAGAGACCACCACGCGCCGCAATGAAAGATCCTGTGTGCCACAAGACCCGACGCAGCCAAAAAATAAATATTTTTTTTAAAAGGGGGGAGGGAGATATGCATTTGTTTGTGTGTTAATATATACATTTATGGTGCTACATGTTACTAGAAGGATACACAAGTAACTCAGAAACTGCTATTAGTTGCCTCAGAGGAGGAGACTGGGGTGGTTGGCGGGCAGGAGGGAAGAGACTTTTCACTATATAAGCTTTTGTTCCTGTTGAATTTTGTGCTATATGAATGTCAAATGAATTATTTTGATTAATTCAATCAAAAGGACTTAGAACATCAGCAAGGACATTTTTCTTACAAGAAGATTTGGATAATTAACTTCTAAAATGTCACAACTAAAATAATTAACACACATAAAAATTCACAAAAGGGCTCAAAAATAACCAAGATATGCAAGTTACCTACACAAGTAAATATTCTAATTTACACTAATATTACCTCAAGACTGAAAAACCCATCTTGCAAAAGCCTTCAGAAATTATAAAGTGACACAAAGAAAGAAAAGAAAAAGAAAATCGCTAACTCTATATGATAGTGATTTCCAAAGGAATCTTCTTGGGCATGCTGCCAAGAAAGTAAAAGACACCGCTCACTGCTTCAGAGCAGTTTATCTTTTATCTGCTCAATATACTGGACTCCCTTATTATTTTTTATTTAAACAAAGGCTTTACAGTGAAAAGTTTGAAGACTACTACTACAGGACATCATTTAAAAAATAATCTTTTGCTTTCCAGAATCATATATTTTCAAGAATTATAGTCCTTACGCAAAAAGCTAATTAGAGCTAGTTGTTGTTTATTATAAAAGTTTGCATAATGCTTACCTGAAAACTCGCCCATAATTCCCATGTACTTTATATACACCATATAGTCGGTCTGCTACTCTCTGGAATAAATATTCGAAAGAAATTGCTATGAAGTCAAAGTTACACAAAGATTACTTAAAAAAAGATTTTATCCTCATTTAAAATACATACATATATATATATATATATACATGTTTAGCACAATAACCTTGAAAATATGGAAAAGAAGCTTAAATCTCCCAAAGTTTCACGATGGGGAGAAAAAACACCTAGTGTTGTCATATTTATGTAATAGCTTTCATATTTCTTCATACATATATATTTTTTTAATTAACGTTTTAAAATTTCCTATACCAAGAGTGCTAATGTTTTTAACCAGCAGGTTACTATTACTTTTATTTATTTTATAAATTTATTTATTTATTATTTATGGCTATGTTGGGTCTTCGTTGCTGCACGTGGGCTTTCTCTAGTTGTGGCGAGCAGGGGCTACTCTTTGCTGTGGTGTGCGGGTTTCTCATTGCGGTGGCTTCTCTTGTTGCAGAGCATGGGCTCTAGGCACGTGTGCTTCATTAGTTGCAGCACACGGGTTCTAGGGCACGTGGGCTCAGTAGTTATGGCTCACGGGCTCTAGAGCACAGCCTCAGTAGTTGTGGTGCACAGGCTTAGTTGCTCATGCGGGATCTTCCCAGACCAGGGACTGAATTGGCAGGTGGATTCTTAACCACTGCACTGCCCGGGAAGCCTCAATATTACTTTTAATAGATATCACTTAAAAAAAAAATTTATTTATTTACTTATTTATTTTGGCTGTGCTGGGTCTTAGCTGTGGCATGCAGGGTCTTTTAGTTGTGGCATGCAGCTTCTTAGTTGTGGCATGAGGACTCAGTTGCAGCATGTGGACTTCTTAGCTGCAGCATGCATGTGGGATATCTAGTTCGCCGACCAGGGATCAAACACAGGCCCCCTGCATTGGGAGCACAGAGTCTTACCCACTGGAGCACCAGGGAAGTCCCCCCATTAAAAAAAAAATTATTTTATTTATTTGGCTGCGCCAGGTCTTAGTTGCAGCATGCAGGATCTTTTAGTTGCGGCATGTGGGATCTAGTTCCCTGAGCAGGGATCAAACCCAGACCCCATGTATTGGGAGCGCAGAGTCTTAACCACTGGACCACCAGGGAAGTCCCCTGATACCACTTTAAAAAGGTACATAAAATTCCACCTAGTGGTGTATAAAATATATAAGCATTCCTTGTCAGATAGTTAGTTATCCCTAATTTTTTCAGTATTATAAATAACGGTGAAATAAGCATCTCTGAGAGTACAGCTTTTTCCAAATTTCAGATTACTTCCTTAAGTCCCCAACGGGGAATTTACCAAGGGAAAGAATATAAACATTTTCAATTGTATTGAGTTTTATATATAAACACTGCACACATGCAATATATTTCTTTTGTTTGTTTGTTTTTGGCTGTTTTGGGTCTTTGTTGCTGCTGCACGTGGGCTTTCTCTAGTTGTGGCGAGCAGGGGCTACTCTTTGCTGTGGTGCTCGGGCTTCTCACTGCAGTAGCTTCTCTCGTTGCAGAGCACGGGCTCTAGGCACATGTGTTTCAGTAGTTGCAGCACGCGGGTTCTAGGGCACGTGGGCTCAGTATATGGCTCACGGGCTCTGGAGCGCAGCCTCAGTAGTTGTGGCGCACAGGCTTATTTGTTCATGTGGGATCTTCCCAGACCAGGGATTGAACCTGTGTCCCCTGAATTAGCAGGAGGATTCTTAACCCCTGCACCACCAGGGAAGTTCCCAGGCAATATACCTCTGTGCTACTTTATCAAGTTAATGTCTTCTAACCAAGTAACATTAGATATTTTAATAACAGTAGAATTACAGTTTAGGTCACTGAGATAAAATATGTACTGCCTACAGACTTCCCTCGTGGTCCAGTGGTAAAGAATCTGCCTTCCAACAAAGGGGACGTGGGTTCTATCCCTGGTTGGGGAACTAAGATCCCATGTGCTGTGGGGGAACTAAGCCCACGTGCCACAACTACTAAGCCCAAGTGCCTCAACTAGAGAGCCCACATGCCGCAAACTACAGAGCCCACACACCACAACTAGAGAAAGAAAAAAAACCCCGTGCCACAACTAGAGAGAAGCCCACGCGCCACAACGAAGAGCCCAAGTGCTGCAACTGAGACCCGACGCAGCCAAACATTAAAAATAAATAAATAAAATAAATATTTTTAAAAACTACAAAAACAAAAAAATGTACTGCCTAGCCATTCACACAAATTTTACAAAAGACAAAACAAAACATCATATGGAGTAATCTACTTTCCCCCAAAGTATTATGGACATGAACTAGAAGATCAAAAGTCAATCCCAGGGCTTCCCTGCTGGCGCAGTGGTTGAGAGTCCGCCTGCCGATACAGGGGACACGGGTTCGTGCCCCGGTCCATGAAGATCCCACATGCCGCCGAGCGGCTGGGCCCGTGAGCCATGGCCGCTGAGCCTGCGCGTCCGGAGCCTGTGCTCCGCAATGGGAGAGGCCACAACAGTGAGAGGCCCGTGTACCACACACACACACAAAAAAGTCAATCCCACATAAAACCTTAAAAAAGAATTCCTAGTATATAATTGCCAAATGTAAACGCTGAATTTACATTTAACCCCTCTAGTTCCTTACTCAAACGTGAGTAATTTGAGGAATTAGGCATTAACCATACAATAATTCTTAAACCTTTTAATACTTCAGCTTAAACTGAATGAACCACATTGTAAAAACCTGGAGCAGGCGTAGGAGGATCATAAAATGTTTTCCATCTCTCCTTGACCTGCTAGGCTAGAAGGCAGCACACTACAGGTCTGCAGCTTGTTTTTGCAGTCTTATTGGAACACAGTCATACGCACTCATATTAGCACTGTCTATGGCTGCTTTCATAGCAGGGTTGAATAGCTTCAACAGGGACCATATGACCCAAACAGCTGAAAATATTTACTATCTGGCCTTCAGAAAAAGTTTGCCGACCCCTGTACTAGACTCCACTTTCAGGACAAAGTTCATAGTCTTTGCTATGCTTGAAACTTTCCAGGGCTGTCCACAGAGCTCTAAACTAATTTCTCTGGGATGTTATTTCCCAGTTATTTTTTGAGAGCCCTATAGAGTGTCAACGGTTGGTCGGTTGTTTAAAGTGGTTCCACTGTCAAGTAACTTTGGGAAATACTGAGATTAAAACGTTTAACAGGTTTTTCTTCTGCAGGAGTTTTTTGAACTTTAACACTATATACGAATCAGGACTATTGAGAGAGAGTTGGTTTGCAGTAGGGAACATGTTACAGGGCTGGCATTCCAAAGAATGTAAAACGGAAAATGTCACTCTAGAGTACTAACTTTTGCAGATCCTCGTACCTTTTTTTTTTTTTTTTTTTTTTT